TAAGAGGAAAAAGAGATCCGATAACTTAACACCGATGAAAGCCTAGGGCGACCATAAAAACGGCATGCCTGATTTTACAGGATCATTACCTGTGCTCATCTCTCACACATCTCATAATTCATGGAAAACAATAAAGAAATAAGCGTTCAGAAGTCCTCTCAACCGACGAATACCCTATCATCGGTCATCTCCTCTCCAATTTGTCGAGCGGTGGTCGCGGCTCTGTCCTCCATTTACCGCTCGGCGGTCCCCACTCCGTTCCCAGTGCTCGGCGGTCCCTACTCCGCTCCCAGTGCTCGGCGGTCCCCTCTCCGCTCCAAGCGCCCCGGTTCGCTCCCGCGGGCCCCACCTATCGGCTCCCGCTCGGCCCGGCCCGGCCCGGCGGCCCGGCGCGCCGGCCGCCGCATAATTCCGCCATCAATCAGTGCTAACAGCGGCCGCCAATGTGGAGACCGACGATTGCTCGTTAAATTCTCCTCGCCCCACTGCGACCAGTAATGACCTGTTTTATCAATGGCCGGCGCCCGCCCGAGGTCGGCTCAGGCCGCCCGAGAGTCGTGCAGATGGCTGCCAAAGTGGAACCGGCCCGTTCATGAGGAAGCCAGGAGTCAGGTTCCGAGAAATGATCACGAGCTACTGGTGTCGGACGACAAGCGCAGCCACTGAGGGCCAAGCTAGTTATAAGGGATCATAAGTCCATTGGTTGTTCATGGCGGTGAATGCCAATTACATAGATGCCCTGGAACGCTCGTACAGAAAACTCGAGGCCTTCTTTTATGGAAGTAATTTCAATTTTTCAGTAAACAGAAGGCAATTATGTTAAAAAATAAGTGTTCTGCCCATTATGCGCTAGTTGACACGTTTCGTGACAACTATATTCAGTGCCAGCAATCAGGCTTTTCATGATTTCAGGCTGATTATAGCCTAAAATTGCGTACATACATGCGTGTCTGGTGCGTGTGCGTCTGTGCCTGTCTGTGTGCCACGGCCCCTGTCAGCTCCGTCATGGCCCACCGTCCCCACCGTCCCCGCCCGGCCCGGGCGGCGCCAGGCACGGCCTCCCCCGCGCACCTCCTGTATCGGCACCGCCTGCCGCCCTGTCCTGTCCTACAGGACCGGGTCGATGGCACAGCCAGCACTGTTGTGTGCGCGCCAGTGAAAGAAAATACACCCGATCAGCTGCTACCGGAGCCGTCGCCGCACTGGTCTCTGCTGCGTGTGACTCCTAAAAAGCTGAATTAAAAGACGAACTGGCTTGTCTTTTACGGGTCTTGTGCCCTATGTCGCAATCTGCATGTCTTGTTCAGGACCTGTCATCTCTGCCATCCACAGAAGTTAGATAGAATATTCCTAGGCTCCGATTTGCCGGGAGTTATATTCGGCTTTAGAGTTGCAGTCGTAGGTACATACGGGAGCTGAAAGGATAACTTTCTGTCACTGGGAGACATGGGCCGTCCGGCCGGCCTTCAGTCGGTCCATGTTTGTCTCGGTAAGCCGGGCGGCCCGTTTCGGTCGCGCGGGCCAGTTCCCCGATCAGGGATATACGGGCGGCAATAAAGGAGATAAAGATCACCTGACGATATATTGTAACAGCTATACGGTAATATTGCCACACTCTTATTACGGCCACGGCCACACCAATATACTTTGTCCCAGCCGGCCGGCTGCAATGGTCCAAAATTTCGGTAACAAAATGGAAGGCAGGTCTCCACACTGAAAACAATTTAACCCAAGGCCGGCGAGTAAACCGGTGTTTCACGGGTACCCCTATCCGCAACCATTTTTAACCACCCTCCCAGGAGTAGTGCTAGATCCCATTGCGGTGTAGTCGTACTTGCTCTGAGCGGATATAACCGCTCTCAGCGAACATGTCCGCTGAGAGCAGGGACGACTACACTGCAATGGGACATTACTGTACTCCTGGGAGGGTGGTTAAAAATGGTTGCGGATAGGGGTACCCGTGAAACACCGATTTACTCGTCGGTCTTGGGTTAAATTGTTTTCAGTGCAACTAAGACACGTAAGGTGGTTCTCGTTAAAATAATCTGTCTGGTTTCTATACTTTCGCTTTTCTGTTCTGCCTCTCATGCATGTTTTGTTGCATCAACGCTGAGTGACATCATGTCTGAGACTTTCCGCGGTTTATCATCAAACGCAGCTGCACTTTTTCCGACCAATCTGTTATCTGTGTACCAAATGAGTCAGTGGATGAGAATTGACACACGGTAGGCCCACATTTACCGTCCCGCTGATACGCTGCAGTAGCAGACACAGTTCGTGGAACCCACATCGCCCAGAGATGGCGGCTGACGTCTGCACCTGCAGCCGATATCCGCGCCGCGTCATCCGCGTGATTCGAGCTCGATCCGAGCTGACACACGGGTCAGAGGTGGTCAGTGTCAGACTCAGCCAGCGGCCTGGAGGCTGGCGTGGGTACCCGGTACAACAACATGCACTCGGCATCGTATAACTACGAGCACATAGGAGCCACCACGGTCACCGTTAAAAGGAATGGCTTCGCTGTAAAGAGAAAAAAAGGGTATAGATGCCGATATCCCCCGTTCCGTCGATTCCATCCTCAGGATAGTCAAATACCTATTTCTCCACACCTCAGCCCTCTGTTCCGGACTGGACGGACTTTATCCCATGCGGCCGGGAAGCTCCCTAGGGGTAGGCCCGTAACCGGGTGCGGTGACGGTGAGTGTCAGGGGGCTAGGTGACCTGTCCATTGGCTAACTATGTTAGCCGCGCCGACTAGCGAGGGTATCCGCACAGACCAATCTCTCCCCCTCATTCCTACAAGCTATCCTTTCGGACTTGTCAGACCGAAAGAGCCCTACCTAACAAAATAGGCAAAATTACTATTGAGGATATTTAGTGCCTAAATATCTAAGACGTTTCCTTGATAGGTAAGTTAGTAGACGTGAAGGGATACCTAGGTATCGCATTTTCGTTGTAGGTGGAGCGGACACATTTTCAAATTAGGTACAGTGGAACTGTCCCTCACACGATCATCGTATTCCTGCGACCTTCATACAGCCAGACTATTCATCCCTATCAGGTAGGGATCCCTTTCAAGTGAGTAGAATATCCACTAATAGACTTTTGTCTTTTGGCACGTGGTGGATCCATGAGGGTTGACGTTAAGGGCACAACCATCCGCGCAGTGCCCGAGCTTCGAAATAATAATTCACCAATAAGAATGGCACCTTAACCCGCGCCCGGCTGGGGGTCCTGGATTTCCACGCCCTGCTGGGGGGGGGGGTGTTTGAACACCCCCCCCCCCCCCTTGTAACTCGGCTCCTGGGCCACGTAGCGATACGCGGAAGGCGGCGTTCGAAAGAGCGTCAAAAATAATGACGAAAACATTCCGGTCAATTTTTTGGTCAGGTCAAAGGTCAGGTCACCAGAGGTCATTGAAGGCAAAATTTCGCCGATTTCCAGGTCGAATGTCGAAAATTTCCAAGAAGCCAACGCATAACTCGGGAACCAATAGAGCTACAGCGTCGCCGAAAAGCGCATTCGATAACCCTATTAACGCCCTTTCTGACTAATTCTCTCAGATTTGACCTAACTTCAACGGTTTTGCCTGCAGGGGGCAAAAACTGCAAAAATAGCCGATTTTTTCGGAAACAGTTTTTCTGCAATAACTTTTGACCCAAGCCTTGTACGAGCTTACTTTCACCGGCATCGTGTTCCTCTCGTCAAGACGCATCGAATGAACTATAACTTGTCCTTGAAAGGTCAACTTGAAAATTTGAACTCAGGTCAAGGTCATGACCTGACCGGAAAGGGTCATGTTGCATATCAGTCGATCCGTATCGTCGAGCTGAATACATCTAAGGCGTTTTCATCGCTCTAGCATACCTCTATCAAAAGTTATTTGCGAAAAACTGTTAGATACCATTCGTGACCTAAGATGACCTCAGGGCATAAACAAGGGTCACGGACACCATTTTCATGTTCAGTGTGTCTAAACCACTTGTAATTCGGTGTTTGGGAGTGTCTATAATGTCTTTCATCCAAAAGAGGCGCATTTCAATTTTCTCCCATTGACTTATAATGGGAAGGTCGCAAAATTGACCTGACCTTAGGTCATCGATATCAAAATTCTGAGATATACATTTTGTACATGCTATTGCTCTTAGCAATCGCTGAAAGTTTCAAAGCGATCGGTCACTCGGTGTAGCTATGACAGACATTGAAACTTTTTATGAGGTGAGGTCACTTCAAGTGACCTGGTAACCTGACCTTGAATGACCTTGGTCTGAAATTTTCACAACATGTGTAGAATTGATGTATGATAAGGTGTACCAAAAACGGCGGCGCTCCGCGCCGCCGTTTTTTGAGATATTCGCAAAAAACCACAAGGGGAGGGTGTTCAAACACCCCCCCCCCCCAGCAGGGCGCGTATTCGCAAAAAACCACAAGGGGAGGGTGTTCAAACACCCCCCCCCCCCCCCAGCAGGGCGCGGGTTAAACGATACGCCCCTTGCATGACTGGGTACTGACCTCCACTGGCATCGTTCTTACGGCATCGCTCTTGAGCAAAGCGTACCTATAAGGTGGCGTCCTCTGCAACAGTCCAATGATCACCACACTCACCAGAGGGCAGCAGTCAGCAGTGTTGAATCGCGCATGGATACGGCCTTGGGTTGGTCGTCACTACTCATGCTTCGTGACTGCTGGATAGCATTGCTATCACCTCCTGAAGGCGTAATTGATAATTTGGTTCGCATATGCGTTCGCAGCATCACATTGTGTATTGGCAAAATTATTTGTGAGTAGGTAGTTATAAGTGTGAATCTGAATCCATCGCCGAATTGATCAACGTTCTGAATATTTCATAACTGGCGCAGCAAAGACATAAATCATCCTGTTCTAAGACAGGCTGCTTCGAACGCAGATATTTCGCTGACGAATTAGAGCCAATGAGAAATAGCTTGATGACGTAATTTTATCTGAGGCTGAATTGCATTGGGTAATTTGCGCTAACGCATGATAAACAACTGTTTGGAAAAAACTGCACTTCCAACTTTTTATTGAGATGCCAACCCACGGGCCGGCATGTGCTTTGCAAATTGCAATTTTGTGGATTTGGTGTCCTCATATAGGGCATTGGTCCTGTCTATGGTTTAGGGCCTTGGTCCTGTCCGTCACGTATATTTCTGTTTGGTGAATGCCACTGGCCCACCAGTCGGTCGAATTTTGCTTTTTCAGCAGGCTCTGAACTTGAACTGTTGAAGCCATGACAAAGTATGGGTTTCAAGTAAAGTTGGACCACAAGTTTCCAGAGAAGTGGGATGGAAATATCGTTCCAAGCCTTAGTCAGGTCTGGGACTTGGTTCCTCTTGGCCTCAGGTAAGCCCTGTGCTGAAAATGTTATTCAACCTTTTATGGGTTGAAATGTACATTCATGTCGCTCAAAACTTTTTAATTAATCAAGTGTTTCTTCGAAGGTTCGCAGATTTTACCTCCAAGTACTGCAGGGCTTAATGTTATCGGTATTGGTTGGGTAGGCATCAACAATAGCTTTCTGTTGTAAACATACAAGGTTGGTATATTAATGGGGCGGTATGCATGTGCCATTTGTGAAAGATTTCCCACAATACTGCAGCATGTTGATGATGTTATTTGTGAATTTTTTAAGCATTTTTCATCTATCTTCTACCAATTATTCTTTGTAACTCATCAAAACTAAACAAACCAGACCTAACCTATGCCACCTAATCTAATCTTTCATAACATACCTGACCTAAACAACCTAACCAAACATACTCTAACCAGCCACCAGGCCAGGGGGGTACGCTCCGGCTGTTTAGCATTACGAAAAATGGTGACAGACGTTTGTGGAGGATTGTCGACGAACTCTTGTTCCGCGAGCAGTACTTACACGCTAGCGGAAAATTCACCAATCAGCGCTCGGCCGTACTCGACGCTGATTGGTCCGACGCTCGTGACGAAATTGTGGGGGACCGCAGTTATTCTCTATGGACCCGAATAGGCTTTTGGATTTCGGAGGGGGTTCTTTAAAATTATATGCTGTTTGGAGCTGTTTTCGAGTTGAAATATATTTCTTATGACTGTTAGCTATATAATGACACCATAAAATCATGATTTTAATAAATATTACCGATGTAATATCGGCCGAAAAGACATGCTGCCATGGCACGGACTGCCCTGCGGCTGATGTGGGGCCCCTAGTGCCAGCGTATGGTAATAATGGGTTGACGAAGGGTTATTGGAGAAACTTAGAGCCCCATCAGCATTCAGTATAGGGTCATTAGACGCCGGGAATGTCCATCAGGGGTCTGAGTAGGCCTGTCATAGGGGCATACATGACACATTATGGCCCATGGGTCAATGTAGATCCATTAGGGGCCGTTGAAGGGCCATCATTGTTCAGCGTGGGCTCGCAATTACCTCTGATGGGCATATGCCGTGCCCCGATGGACTATAACGCTGGCCCCTGATGAACCATCACCAGCCCCTGATAGGTCTACAAAGCCCCCTGCTGGGTCCAAATTGGTCACTGATATGCCCAAATGGGCCACTGAGAAACCCGTACAACATCCCCTGACTGCACCTGCTGGACCAGTGCCGTCCCCTCATGGGCCCACCGCAGCTCTTGAATGACCTTTTCAAGTCCCCTGAAGTGCCTTTATTGGCCTAAATGGCCCCTGATTGACTTTTGTAGTCCCTATTGGTCCTATATGGTCCCCATGAGCCCTCAACGTCCCTAGACAGCCTTACATTATATGCCACTGGGCCCTGTTGGGTCAGCACCGGCCCCTGATAGGCTTGCACTGGACCCACCGGGCCTATACCGACTCATGAAGGGCCTATGTCGAGCCCTCATGGACCTCCGATGACCACACGCCGGCATGTGTGGCCCCATCAGCAGTGGTCCGTCTATCCCATGTACTTACGGTCTTTTTGGCCGATGTGACACCGGTAGTAAATAGAAATGTTATGATTAAATGTCGTTATTACACAGTCAAAAGTCACAGAAAGAATATCCAAGCTCAAAAATGGCCTCAAAACCAACAAAAACTGGTATAAATCACCTTCAAAAGCCGTAAGTCTATTAAACGCCATAGGGGAATAGCTACAGTCCCCCGCAATTTCGTCACGAGCATCGGGCCAATCAGCGTCGAGTATTGCCGAACGCCGATTGGTCGATTTCCGCTAGCCTGTAAATGCTGCTTGCGGATATAGTTTTGAACAAGTGAGGGTCGCGGCTACTAATTATCGCTTGTCACCACTTTTTCGTCGGGAACGTTCTACCTGGTTTATATAGCCTTGCACCAGGCCTACTGTAGCCAAAGCTAACCTGCCAGCTTCACTAAATTTAATTTAGCTTAATGTGTCAGATGAAATAAAGATAGGTTTGACTTGATTGGGTTAGATTAGGTTAGGAAGTTAGGTTTCTACATACTTCAAATACTCTGGTCACCATTGAAGTCATCAATGAGTCCAAGCATTGTGGGTAATCTCACATAGATGTTACATGCATATGGGCCCAACAATATGTAAACCCTGCCTGGATCCAACAGAAAGCTGTTGGTGGCACCTGCCCCGCAGATAACTCGTTATCTACCTGTTCCACAGCTATTGAAGGTAGCAGACTCTTGAAGGAAAGGAGAACTTCTCAGCCATTCATTTTCTTTGTGCTCACTTAACAAAACAAGAAATAATATCTTGGAGATTGGGGCTGAATTTCAATCTCTTGATGCACTTAAAATTGAATTTGTATATCTCTCATCTATGGCACATCTATAACCTTAGAGTTCTGGTACCTACCTCTGTCCTCTAACTGGGCTCAAGCAGCCTCAAATTGTAATTTAAATATTGCTTCCATTTTTGCACTTATCATTCTTTCCTGTATTAGACAAATGTTTTAGTCTGAGAGCGATGCAGGGTTTATGCTTTGGACTGCTTTCATCTGACTCATGTGACTCTACCTAATCACTTTGTTTCAGATATTTGGTCTGGTATGTTGGAATGTGGTTCAAAGGAAAGAAACCCTTCATTGACCAGCTCAACCCTGTGTCTGGAAAACAAATATATGGTTAGTAATGCCTGTGTTTATCTGCCCAGCTGCCATTATCCACCATAATCAGAAAATGGATTTAGGTCACTGATACATACTAGACAAGTTTATCATATTTCAATTGAAAATCATTAAAAGTTGGATCATACAGTATGTAGATTGTAGGTGAACATTGTGTCCAGTCGGGTGCAGGTGTGGCCCCAGTTGTGAGTACTAGCAGCACTAAGACCGCCGGTGTGTCCGTCAGGGGTGCCTCTGGGCGGTATCGGCGCCGGCACCATCGGGCGCGGCTTCTGCGGCCAGTTCACGCGGTTCCAAGTACGGCCCGGTCTGTACGAGTACACCACGGCCGCCGCCGACCAGTTTATCGTCACCGTCCACGGCGCCCAGAGCCACAGTCAGGTGCTGAGCGCGTGCGGCCCGCCGGCCGGCGGCCACCTCTCCGGCTGGCGGTGGTCGTTCCCGGGCGCGCAGGCCGAGTACCGCGGCCTGTACCCGCGCGCCTGGACCGACTACCGCCTGCCGGAGCAGCGGCTCAGGCTCGGCTGCCGCCAGGTGTCGCCAGTCATACCGCACAATTACAAGGTACGAACACGGAACATTCTCTACGGGTTGCCTCTTCATAGCCACTTAGATACCTATATATTATGTCCCTGGATGGCCGTCCCGTAACTATCGGTTGTATCTGTCCTGGTAAAATACGGCGTCTATAGCGATGTTTTCAGTTCGGTCATAACTGCACCACAATCTCTTATCTTTTGAATTGACATTAGTTGCAAGTGCTGACGCATTACACCATACTGTTTTTGAAAGCCAGCTGCGATGTTTGTTTTCAGGACACCTCACTGCCGTGCGCCGTGTTCGTTTGGGACGTGGAAAACACGGGCACAGAGGAGAGGACGGTCAGCATCACGTTCACCTTCGAGAACGGCATCGGCAGGAAACACTCCAGTACGAATCGACAAATCCTTCTGGCTCCCACACCCTGTGGAGCTTGATTTCTCCAGTTTGTCATTTTTACGTTTTGTTTTGCTACCTATTCCATTACAGTCTGAAACCACCCACGTTCGTCATAGATCTAGAGACCCTGAGCTGTTTTCATTCACTGATAACAGCACATGTTTACATTGTGACCTTTGCGCTCAGCGCTGCGCGGCGTGTCGTTATACACTCGCTGACGTGTGTATCCAGGTTTGAACTGCGCGGTGTCGTCCCTGGACCCGGAGCCGGCCGCCGCTGGCGGGGTGTCGGGCCTCACTATAGACCAGGAGATCGGCGGCGTGCCCTGTCAGTACGTCATCGCCGCCAGAACCCAGGTGGGCTGCCGCTGGTGGGCTCTGACACCGGGGAGTTTGAATCCGAGAATCGTCACTGGTTGAAAACGATAAATGAGTTTGTTGGGACTTAGTACCTATATAGTTTTGCAAAGGTGTAATGGCTATTTAGATGATGCGCGGTACCAGAGTTCTAGCAGTTCAATCGTCTGTTGTTCACTTGACGAGTCACGAGTTCGTTGACCTGACGAGACGGTTGTTTCTAGGAGGGAGTCCTGGTCAGTAAGAGCACGTTCCGGCCCTCGGGAGACGGGCTCGACCTCTGGAACCAGCTGTCTGCGGACGGAGGTCTGACGCTCAATCTGGAACAGAACAACACCTCAGGTATGACGTAATCAGGCGTGTGGCCAGACCGTGCCGCTGGCACTGCTTATAATTGTCATGTAGGTAACCGTGAGTGTTTACGCTAGAATGTGTGTTTTACGGGTTTCGGATATTGATGCGAGCACTGTATTACCTAACACGTTTTATTTCCACCCTCTCAGAGGCCGGTATGGCGGTCAGCGCGCGGGTGACGGTACCGGCCGGCTCTCGGCGCTCAGTGGAGATGGCCCTGGCCTGGCACATGCCCGAGGTGCGGTTCGGAACGGCCGTGCAGCCCGTCACCAGGTCAGTCGGCGTGGGCACGAGCCGGGTGCAACTACAGTCACTCGTTGGCCGTTTGGTTGTGAACAGAAGCAGCCGATTCAAGTTGGACGTTTTTTTAGTGCGATCAAGCGTTTTGTTCAATGTGATTTCACTACAGAAATGTGGGCGTGCTGTCGTAAAACAGCCGTCACCTTATTGCTCGCACACACTGCGGATTTTGAGCGCTGCGATGGCCTCTGATAGGCGCGACATCTGAAACATTGCGACTTGCGAGGCATTCTCTTATAGTCGTTGTGGTTCGTGTTTTATCGGATGAACACAGTACCTATTTGTGTTGAAACGAAAGTCGTGTTACACCATCGTTCAGCAACACAATTTACATTTGTGACAGTTTATTGTTGCGGTGATCGAAAATCACTCGTCATGACGAGCTAACCAGTGCTATTCCATATTTACTCGTATTGTCGTTGCGATATAAAACGTGATGCTACCGCTGTGGATTCGTTGTATTGCCCTTCTCTAACGCCTGTGTCCCGGCCGTCCTCAGGTACTACAGTCGCTGGTTCGCGGCGGGCCGGCAGGGCGCCGAGCGACTCTGCCAGTACGCGCTGGACAACTACCGGCGCTGGGAGGATGCCATCGACGCCTGGCAGCAGCCCGTGCTCGACGACCCGTGAGTTTAGGAGACGGGGTGCTCAGCCAACTGGGTGTGGGGACTGGGGGGTGCTGAGAGACACAGGGACACTGAGCAACCCGTGAGTTTAGGAGACGGGGGTGGTGAGCGAACTGGGAGTGGCGACTGGGGGGTGCTGATAGTGCCGGGAGTGAACTGCGGAAACGTGCCGCTGTCTCTGCTTGTTGTTTAGGCTATCGTTGCTATCATTCTGGTGGTGTGTGCCTGCAATTATATTGTTATGCCGTTGCAGGGAGCTGCCGGATTGGTACAAGTCTGCCATCTTCAACGAGCTGTACTTTATCTCGGACGGCGGCAGCCTGTGGTTGGAGATGGCCGACGCCGACAAACTGCCCCACTCGGACCCCAGGTGAGCCTCACTGACCTCGTGACAATGACAACAATTATAGAGGTGCAAAATATCTGGTTGAAAATCTTCTTCCTTTAGTCGACGCCATTTCATATCAAGAAACATCACAAAATTACTTGGTCGTGATTGACCGTCTGAATTCTACGGATTCTGCCACATAATTCCAACTGCAATCACTTTAATCTTAGTCGTTGCTCTTCTGGTCCCCAACCCCCCGGTACCGCTGACCCCCCCCCCCCCCTCGCAGACGGGAGTACGGCCGGTTCGGGTACCTGGAGTCCCACGAGTACATCATGTACAACACGTACGACGTGCACTTTTACTCGTCGCCGGCGCTGGTCCACCTGTGGCCGCAGCTGCAGCTCTCGCTGCAGTACGACATGGCCGAGTTTGTCACACAGGTGGGTGGGCGTGACGACCTTATTGGACTGGAACGGGGTGCGTATAGGGATTCAATGATGGAGTTACTGGTGATATCACGTTTGAAGAGTCATGATTTGGTCTTTCCTCGAGTACGTTCCTTTTATTCACTTATTTATCCGGTTGTGTTGGAGACCATCGTTGGACAAGTTGGCAGATCGTTTCTCTGTCTGTAGAACCACCCGGTTGATAGTTCTACACTGACACGTACCCCGTGTCCCGTCCCCTCTGGGTCTGTGACCTCTCAGGAGGACCTGGAGCGCCGTAAGATGCTCTACACGGGCCAGACGGCAGTGAGGAAGGTGGCCAACACTGTCCCGCACGACGTCGGCAACCCCGGCGTGCCAGGTAGGGGCACGAGTTTCTCTCTGACTGTGGGAGAGGATAGGGAAGGCAGAAGGTGGCCAGCACGGCACCCCGGTGAGGGTGTGCGCGCTCTATCTGTCGGATCTGAGACTGGCGTACCGGCTGGTGGGGAGGGTCGGGTGCGATGGGGCCGACTGGTGGGGAGGGTCGGCTGCGATGGAACCATCAGTCACGACTGTCGACTCAAGGTTCGACTTGGGGCGTAAGATAACTGGACACTGTATATTAGCTACGTTTATAATTTCATACACTGTAGTAATATGGTATTCGCATCCCTGTCCGTTTCAGGTGAGATACCGTTTGTGAAGATCAACAGCTACCAGATTCACGACGTGTCCGCCTGGAAGGATCTCAACCTGAAGTTCGTGCTGCAGGTGAGTGCAGTCTACGAACGTCCTGTGAGATGAGCTCGTTCTACTGATAACGAGTTAATATTTCTGTAAGAAAATCATGTGTCACGATCGCCTTAAGCCGGGCCTGCGTTCTCTTGTTCTTCCCGCTGGCCTCCCAAGTTAGTTAGCTGTGGAATCCGCGCCTCGCCGTGCCCGTCTGACCGCTCTGCCGCCGCCGGCAGACGTTCCGAGACCAGCGAGCGGTGGGTGCCGGCACCGGCTACCTCTCGGCCATGTGGCCCGCCTGCAAGGCCGTCATGGCCGTGGCGCGCCGCTGGGACACCGACGGCGACGGTATGATCGAGAACTCTGGTGCGCCGGACCAGACGTACGACACGTGGGTGATGAGCGGCGTGAGCGCCTACTGCGGCGGCCTCTGGCTGGCCGCCCTGTACGCCATGGCGGAGATGGCCCGCGAGATGGGCGACGAGCCCGCGCTGGCCCAGTACGCCGAGCTGCTGACCCGCGCGCAGAAGGTCTACGTGGAGAAACTGTGGACAGGTGAGGAGGAACACGGTGGGGACCGGGGAGTGGACTGCGGTGGGAACTTGACAGGATCGTGGGTGAGGCTGCAGCGTAGGGAGCGAGGAAAGTGCTGTGATGGCTAATGGCTATAATTGAGTGCCTTGTTCTGTTGCCCTGTCGTGTTTTTGGACTGTAATAATTTCGCACCTGTCAAGTACACGCATTTCATTGGCATTTTTGTGTTTTCACTCTACTTGCGCCTTGGTGAATGCATAATTCATTATGCAGTTTCCCTTCATCTTCCGTGCGAAGTCTCTTTCCACGCGGTTACCACGCGGTCATTTCTCGCACTGACCACTGGGTGCTGCTCCTCCCATCCGCAGTGAACAAGGCGGGCTCCTACTACAAGTTCGACACCTCGCCGGGCGACAACGGGGGCTGCATCATGGCCGACCAGCTGTGCGGCTACTGGTACCTGAGGTCCGCCGGTGTCACAGATCAGGTAAATAGGGAACCGGGAGACCGCCAGGGAACCGGGGGAACCCTACCGACCAGCTGTGTGGCTACTGGTACCTGAGGTCCGCCGGAGTCACAGAACAGGTAACTAGGGAGACCAAGGACCACCAGGGAACCGAGGGAACCCTACCGACCAGCTGTGTGGCTACTGGTACCTGAGGTCCGCCGGCGTCACAGAACAGGTAACTAGGGAACCGGGAGAAGGGGGTACAGTTACCAGGAACCCGGCGGTTAGGTAACCAGGAAACATCCGGGGATACGGCAATCAGAGAACCAGCGTTTTGTACCGGCGACATTGTAACATTACTAAGTAATGAATTCGGATAGCCGGTGCTATCCGGCTTTCTATGCGCGTATATAACTGCATCCCATGATTCTGACGCAGGCGAGGTTTAGCCCTGTATTACACACCAGCTCCGACTCTCGCTCCCTCCCTCCCCCTGCCCTTGCCCTGCAGGTGTTCAGCTACACGGAGGAGGCGCTGCGCACCATCTACGAGAACAACGTGCTGCTGTTCCAGGGCGGCCGGCAGGGCGCCATTAACGGCATGCTGCCCGACGGCCGGCGCAACATCACCACGCTGCAGAGCGAGGAAACGTGGACGGGCGTCACGTACGCGCTGGCCGCCACCATGGTACATGAGGTGAGGCCGGAGCGGGCGCCGCGGGGTCACTGTGGGTTCCACAGACTCGGCGGGGTAACTGTGTTGGCTCCACAGTCGGGGCGCCGCGGGGTCACTGTGAGGGCTCCACAGCGCGGCAGGGGCGGTGTAACTGTGAGGGCTCCACAGTCGGGGGCGCCGCGGGGTCACTGTGAGGGCTCCACAGCGCGGCAGGGGCGGTGTGAATGCAGCAGACTGGAAGGGGTCGGTGGTGGAGAGGGTAGTGGATACGAGATATCAGAGAGACTCCAGGACTATTGTGGGGTTCGTGCATTGTTTTGATGAACAATGTTTTAAACTTAATGTTGTTTTCTCATAGACCTCGGTGTTGTGTAGGCGCTTTTGATATGTAACGAATTCGATAACGGATACATCATTCAGAATGGTGAATGAGGCTGGAACTTTTTGTGTTGTTTTTTATGTATGAATGGCTGAGTGCGCTGTTTTTATTACTATCATTAGACAAATGCGTCTGTCCGAGGGTAGGGCACTTCCGGATCAATTTCTGTTGAGTATTTCTGAATGGTGACGTCTGTTTTGTTGTGCGTAATCTGACTGAGGTCAGTTCGGGCTCCGCTGTCTGTGATAAAGTCCGGCCTCCGGATTGCTGTGTCTGATCCCGGTCCGCCCGCCCGCCAGGGGATGATCAAGGAGGGATTCCACACTGCCGAGGGCATCTACCGCACCGTCTACGAACGGATCGGACAGGGCTTCGAGACGCCCGAGGCGCTCTATCCGGAGAAACACTACCGGGCTGTGGGCTACATGCGGCCGCTGAGCATCTGGGCCATCCAGCGGGCCTGGGAGCAGCGCCGCGCCACACTGCCACCTGGTGGCGCGGAGTAGAACCACTAGTTCGCGGCGAGCACGGCCTCCGTGATACGGGGAGAGGCTGGAGAGTGTGATTTTGATGCTACGTGTTGCAGGTTGATATAATCGCTTTGTGTAATATGCACTAGTCATATGTAACCATGCAGGACGAGTGAACGCTTTTCTATCAGTTGTGATTTTTCTGTAGTCTATTTTCGGGGGCCAATAGTACCGATCGGAGTTAGCTACGCGTCAGGAACGACGAACAAGCCGGGTATCCTGTCAGAAAATATCGAGCATGTGATTGATGTCATTGATTGGTGATCGTGGTTGTGCTCTGTTTCTGTACGTGATCGCTGTACGCTGTTAAGAGAACTCAAAGAGAGTGAGAAAGACACCGAAAAGAGCAATAGTCCTCTTAAAGTAGGTACTACAGTCCAAATACACCACAATCAAAATATCGTTATTCCTCTGCACAGCCACTCATTGTTTCCGTACATTGTTTTCCATACGCCGTGTGTGTGTGTGTGTTGAACTGAAGTGCCTTACACTGCCTGCGTTCCTCGGCCATTGGGTGTGTACCGACGTAATTCATTTGTTCAGAGCTCGACGTTTTTCTGGCTGGCCGCCTGTGTCTGGTGTTCTGCCTATCAGCGCTTCTGCGCCAGTGTCCGTGAGCTTCTGCTGTGTCGTGTTGTTACCCTTTCCCGGGCCTGCGGGCTGTCGTTTTTTCTGCAGACCATTGCCTCCACCGATGGCGGCCGCCGCGCCTCATTCGCTGTGCTCTGGGCGCGGCGAATGGTGAGTCATTCATTCACGTGTGTCGCTTCATGTCTCCCAAGTCAGTCGAGCTGGGTCGCCACCCGCCGGGCGCCGTCTGCCCAGCCGGGCTGGCCAGTGCTGTGCGCTTCACCTGCGCCGGTGGCAGCTTTTCCATACATTTCCTCACGCCGTGCGTCTGTCTCGTTTCGTCGGTCTGAGGTCGAGTCCTCGCGTGGACCGTGTGCGCCATTGGTCGGTTTTGTGTTTGTTTTCTATTTCTGTGCACATTGCGCCAGTCTGTGTCTGTGAAAGGTGACCGGACCGCCGGCGTGCCGGGCGGTTACAGGCGTTCTGGAGCTACGGTAGCCGGCCAGCGTCGCTCCAGCGTCGGCGAGTGAACGGCCCTTGTCCAGGTTACGCTGTTTTCTGCGGATATTATAGCGGTGATTTTATCATTGTTGCAGGTGCTTGGTCAATAAACGCTGAAGCTGTACTGTAATTGGTTGCTCCCCAAGACATGTCGGTGGAGTGTCTGCAGGTACTATGTGTGTGGTATCACCTGCGGGGACGAATATTACATTTACAAATTAAATGTTCCTATCGACGAAAAATGATGTCACTTTTCGCGTCCTAGCTCGCGAGCATAAAAGAAACAGATTACGCGCCGTCACTCACTTTACCGAGAATAACGGGCACATTAAAGGACGCTTACTCGCCGTCTATGGCTGAGGGACATCCTGTAAGTCAACTGGATTGTAGGTCAATACCTAATTGCTTGCCTCATTCCGCTCCCTCAGAATAGTAGTGTCGTATTTTCCCGTCCATTGTTTTCATAGAGAACTGTCCCGTCCAGGGTTCAGGTTTGTCGGGAATTTCCAACTATCTACTTCAGAATCGCTACAAAAGAATCAGTGCTGCCCTTCAGGGGCTACGAGACTTCGAACTAAACGGTTATTTGGCCTTGAACTAAACGCTTACGACACAATGATGCATGGATGTGCCTTCTGCCACAAACAATCGTTTTTCGTCATTCCTTGTGCGCTTCTTGTGCAGTGTGCACTGCCTACCACAACCCACGAGCCAGTTTGTCTCCACTCTCCATGACTATAAATAAGCCAGACATAATTTGTTATCAGTAAATAGGGAAAATCAGAGTACGAAGCAAAAAATATCGTGGATGTAAAAACCCGCGCGGGGCTGGGGTCTCCAGCCGAACGCGCGGGGCTGGGGGGGGGGGTAAATTTACCCCCCCCCTGTTATCTCCTGAACTAATGGTCCGATTTGGAAAATTCAAACGCCAATCGAAAGATCTCATCACGAACAACTAAAAACGTACTTAATTTAAAGTTTGAGGTCAATGTCAGGTCAAGGGTACAAATTGCAAGTTTCTACAGTATCGGCCTTGCACAGTAGTTGCCGAAGAATGGAGTCATGGACTGAGACTGATTGCCTTAAACGTGTTCTTAGGCTACCAAGACAATATTCGTTGCATACAATATCATTCAGAGGTCAAGGTCAGGTCAGGTCAGGTCACCAAAAACAAAATATAGAAAGGGGCATGTGCGACACATGTTTTATGGGTCATTTTACTCATGAAATTCAATAGGCACACTCAATAAGTGATATGGACCACCTCTGGATGAATTTCAGGTCGAGGTCAGGTCAAGGTCAGGTCAAGTGAGGTCAAATTTTGAAGTTGGTTGTTAAGGCCTAAAAAGGTGTCTTTCTGATGCAGTTTTTCACGGCGAGTCGAATGGTGCTATTTTTGTTTTCGTACGAGGTATAAAACTTCAACAAAAAAAAAACATTTTTCAATTTTTTTGTGTGTCGTGACGTCATAAAATTTTGAATAACTCCCACATTTTTGAACCGATTCTTCTAAAAAGTGGTATGTAGGTGCACATAGACCACTTCTCTGACATATATTCCGGTTATTTCGATTCACTCAAAATTTTGGATTTTATAATTATTTTCCCAAAAAAGTCAGTTTTTTTAGAAAAAATTTGGGCCCAAATCCAAAATTTTCAAAAACCGAGACAGCCATTTGATAGACAAAGTAGAATTCCATATAACATTTTTATTACGTCTTGATTCCTTTAAAAATGAAGATGTTAGCGGCGTTTGAAATTTTGCCGTTTTTGAGGCGAAAATGGCGAACATGACGTCACTAAAACGTCAATTTCTCAAAAAAAAATCCGACGGGTTTCGCTCAAATTTTCAGGGAACGTGTCAAATTGATGTAAGAAAAGGCACTGAAAGTTTGGCGGCGCTGCGCGCCGCCGTTTTTGAGATATTGTAAAAATTCGCGAGGGGGGTAAAATTTACCCCCCAGCCCCGCGCGGGATAACATTGCATTATCTGCACTCAATTTCCAGCTATATTACCTACAGTAGGCACGCAATTTATTAAAAAATAAATTAAGTAACTAATAACTTCATCATTAGGTATCTGAATATTCAAATCTCACTATATAGTACCAACTGCCAATGCCCGACACCTCACACATCCTCCCCAGACCGTCAGTGACGGATGGGACACAGAACGGATCGCCCTCCCACGGCGCGGCGTCTCCGAGTCCGAACGTTCGACGGCGCGTCCCGACGGCCGTCGCCCGCCCACAGCGGCGCGCGTCAGTGCCACCGACTACTACCACCGACTCACCGAGCACTGTCACCGAGCACTGTCACCGAGCGCTGTCACCGACTGTCAGTGGGGCACCACCGCTGTCAGGCCTGAGAGTGTCACCGGTCATTGACGACTGTCACAGATAACGGTCACTGGTCGTTGTCATCTGACACCAGCCTACCAACACCGTCACCAGTGTCCGACCACTGTCATCACCAACTTCTGTCACCTAAAACTGTCACTATGAATGTAGCGAATTGATATATTTTCTAAGCAAACGCGCTCAACACATCACCCAATAATCCAGATTACTTTCATTCACTTCACTCTTGACGAAAACTCTTCACAACCTCCAAATCGCCATCAATGCCCCAATAGGTCAGACCATCCTAACGCAAGATGATATCACACTCAGGCGCGGATACAAGGGGGGGGCCATGGGGGCCATGGCCCCCCCCTTGGCCGATTTTTTTTTCAAAAATAAAATAAAAAGTTAAAAAGCTGAAAAGGGGGCCTCCTGAAAATAAAGTGGCCGAAATCCGATGAGTTTTTTTTTTAACCTACCCACTTAGTTATTTCTTAGAAGACTAGCTGAGAAGACTTCTTTGTTAGAAGATTGGTGAAGCTTTTCATAACTTGGAGGTCTCTTATACTCACAGAGATGACCACTTTTACAGGGCCTCCTAACCTGCACAGAGGGCCTCCAAGCCTGCACAGATGTCCTAACAAACACAAAATCTCTTAGCCTACACAGAGGCCTCCACTCGCATCCGAACAAAGGGCCTCCTAGCCAACACAGAGGGCCTCCTAACTCACACAGAAGGTCTCCTATCCTGCACAGAGGGACTCCAAGCCTGCACAGATATCCTCTTCGCCAACACAGGACCTCTTAATCTCCACAGAGGGCCTCCACTCGCATCCACACAAAGGGTCTCCAAGTCTGTACTGAGGGCCTGCGCTCGCATCTGCACAGAGGGCCTCCTAGCTATCACAGAGGGCTTCCTAGTTCACATACAAGGCCTCCTAGCAGGGGCGGATCCAGGGGGGGGCGATAGGGACTATAGCGCCCCCCGGGCGACTTTCTCATTTTCTTTTTTTTTTGCAAAAAAAAAGCATGATAGGGGGCCCCCAAAAATAAAGTGGACGAAATCCAGGCTTAAACTTTTGGGGGTAGGTAGGGCCCCCATCGATGGGGGGCCCCCGATTCGGAATAGCCCCTCCCTTGGCAAAATGCTGGATCCGCCCCTGATCACACTCGCGTGCGGCGTATTACTAGGCACCGCCCAGCACATGCCCCCTTGATGTCCACATCACAGCATCAATAACTACCCCATACACCACTTATACACGTCAGCTTAGCTGCCCCCCTCTGGCGTTACCCTTCTAACGTCCAGCACATGCCGGGGTACACCATCCACCAGCACAGTGTTGCCCGACACCACACCGGTCACCTGGCCAGTAGACCAGCGGGTAGTGCACCTGGCACCGGGCGGCTTCACCCAGACCTGGTCACCGACACGGTACTCGTGAGTCATCCTCTCCTCGCTCAGAGCCGGGTCCTTCGGTTGGGCCTCCGGATGGCGCCACCGATATGTGAATATCCCCCCGCTTGGTGCCGTGCTCGGGTCACTTCCGTCCTTTGCCGCCAGGTTGTACCAGAAAACTGCCTTGAGTGGGGTGATACCACCTCGCGAGGCCATGCGCTTGATTGTCCTGTGATTCCGCTCTACAATGCCATTGCCAGATGGACGATATGCTGCTCGGAATCTCTGTCGGATGTTCCACTGGCGGCACAGTTCCGCTAGCTTGTAAGAGCGGAACGTGGTGCTGTTGTCACACAGAAGTTCATCCACCGGACCTCGTTCCCTGAACAATTCCTCTAACACAGTGGCCACATCTTCTGCGTTTTCTGATCGAATTTTCCTCCAAATCGCATGTCTACTTGGACCGCAGTCTACTACTGTAATGTAGCAGCGGTTTCCGAAGTGGGTCGTGTCCACTGCCAGACGTGACCAGTTGTCTGTGACAGCTAGACTTCCACCCTCATGAGTGACTGGTGATGGGTCGATGGACTGAACTGACATGGGGCGCATCGCTGCACACATTGCTCAACTTCTGCCCTCGTCAGCTCAGGATCTACCAGCTGTCCCAGGCCCTGTTCATGAAGTCTGCGGCCGCTGCGGCCGGCCGCAGGCTCTAAGCTCCGCCCATTTTTGAAACGTCATCACTCACTCGACCGCAGCAGCGTTCCATGAACAGCGTCTGCTGTCGAAATAGTTTCAGACAATTGTTTACAACTGAAGCACACCGGAAGATAATTTGTTTACAAAATCGTCTCCATGACAACACGGCTTGCGCCTATTTGACTTCAGTGCGCCAAGTTCAGTGCAATTAGTTTTCTTGAGGCTCGGCGGTCGCTGGATTGCGGCCGCAGAGATCGCAGCGGCCGCAGCAAGATGACGTCATACATTCGTCATACTACATGAGCCCCGCCCCTTTTTGTGACGTAACAACCCGGCTGGCCGCAGCGACCGCAGCGGCCGCAGCGACCGCCGGGGTTCATGAACAGGACCCCAGATAGAGCGTCTTGTCCACTCCGAAATGGTGTTCCGCGTGTAGCAGTTCGACATTAGCCGCGCACACGTCTTTGTCCTTTTCTCCGCCCAGCCATCGCTTGCTCACTCTCGTGAGGATGTCAGCTCTGTTTTTCTTGGATTCTACCAGCTGAATTGTCACCAGCAGCGAATACGAATCCACCAACTCCTTGAAGAGACCCAGGCGACGTCTGACCAGCAGTTCCGACATCCCTGCGACTTTTATCCTGCAGTTTCCTTCCAACGCTGAAGACAGCCACCGCTTAACCGTCACGGAGTC